CACGCTCCCCTCCCCCCCCCCGCCGCTCTCGACTCCCCACCCTGGCTCAGGCCACACGCCGTCCCTTCAGCACCACAGGGCACGTCGCTTCCAGCACCAGCTCCTCAGCCTCTGCCTCCTGAGTGCCCCGGAGGAGCGCCAGAGCTCTGAGGTGAGGCTGGAGGGGAGCGCAGGGCTCAGACCCCGCTCTGACCGCCGCCTCTGACCCCGGGCCGCCCAGACCCCGCTCTGACCTCCGCCTCTGACCCCGGGCCGCCTAGACCCCGCTCTGACCTCCACCTCTGACCCCGGGCTGCTCATCTTACTTCTCTGGGCCTCAGTGTCCAGCTTGGAGGAACGCACTTCTACAGGCCCCAAGCCCTGGCTCCTGGCACCCCTGCAACCTCTGCCCTTGAGTGGGGGCTGGGCCTAGAGATGCCCTCCTGATAAACACGCCCTGGCAGTGACAAGTAGCAGGACACCCGGGCTCCCGTCCTGCTCGGCAGCTGGGAGCCGCCCTCTGGGGGCCGCATGGCAAGGACCTGCATCCAGCCAACCACCGTGCAGCGACCGGGAGCGGACAGCACCCAGCCAACACCCTCAGGATGTCCTGGAGGCCTCGAAAGACCAGCTAAGCCTCGTCACCTCCAAGTGTGGGTCTGCTGGAGCAACAGGACAACCAGCCTGGAAGCCCCCACGGCTGGGATGGCCACCACACCACCTCCACGGGATGAGCAGGTGCTCGTGGCCTCCTGGGCGGCGCATGGTAGCGCACAGTGACCACACAGTGGCCGGACTCTCAACACAACAGGCTGCAGGCTGCTCCCGGACTGACCCTCCTGCCAGGAGCAACGACAGAGAGAGACCGAGCCCATAAGCCACCACGGCCAGTGGGGTGTGGCCCAGCAGGGCTGCCGCTGGGGAAGCAGCAGGAACCGTCTTCGCTCCCCACCCCAGAAGTTCTTTTCAGCGTCAGGAGAAGGAGCAAGCCCCGGCCCACGGGGGCTACCTCACAAGTCGGGCTGAGACAGAGCCTGGAGAGCCGCCCGAGGAGCCCAGTTCTGCACACAGCCCTAGATGCTCAGGGTAGCCCTCGGGGGCAAGCACGGCAGACCAGGAACCCGTGACGTGGGCGTCCCTGAGACCTGGGGCCGCAGCCCTGGTGTCCCCTAAGGCCCGAGGCCCCACACAAGCAGCAAGAAGCTACTGTAAGAGGGAGGGTGACACCCGCAGAAAAGACCTGAACTAGCCCACCCTGGCAAAGCCTAAGCCAAGACTGGGCAGGGCAAAGGCGAGGCCGCGGGCCGGCAGCTGCAGGAGGGAAGGGCCATCGGGGACATCAGTGGGGAGGATGGGGCCAACAGGGCAGCAGAGGTCAGGGGGTCAGAGAGTCTAAGAAAAGGAAAATAAGGGGAAACAATAGATGGAGAAGAGAGGTGGTGTGGTGGTTAGGGCCCTAGAGCCCACGTAACGAACTGCACGGTTGGAGTCCCAGAACCGGCGGCTTAAAAAACACGCCGGCGTGTGTGACCAAAATCCGGAGGAGAGACTACGGCATGGCCATGCACTGCGGGGCAGCTTCTCTCCCTCACGCAGGCGTGATTATACACACCTTACTTCACAAAGACTGAAGGAAGAAATGGAAGAAGGAAGACGATTAGGAAGATGGACGGCTCGGCCACTCGCGCCAATAACGCATTAAACATGAGTGGCCACAGCCGAGCAAGAGAGCAAGGGCAGGCCGCCACGCCCGCCCGCAGGCCAGGCCTCACGGCGAC